GTTCTTTGGCATCCCCATCATCAAGGGAGGAGCAGACTGCTGTGCTCCCAGGGTTTTCATTGACTGATTTTCAGAGATAGAACCGTTTCTTCCTAATTGTCCTCCAACTCAAAGCTCTCCTAAAAACAATTCAGCATTGTAGCAACATGTGAATCTCCACTGACAGACGAGTGGTGCCTTGGCTGGGAATCAAACCTGGGTCCCCTGAATGGAAGATGAGAACACTACCACTGAGCCACCACTGCCAACTCATATTAAAGAGCCCAAAACCCAGGCAAGGAGTCCTGGTGTGGCACTGCAGGTTAATGCACTGGACTGCAAGGTTGGTTTGAACTGCAAGGTCAGTGGTACAAGCTCACCAGTCGCTTCTCGGAAACCCTTTACAGGGTCGCTATGAGTCGGAACCAACTCAAAGGTACTTAATAACAACAACAAACCCCAGGCAAAAGCACCAACTGGCTGGAAGTGCCCTGGAGATCTGGCTGGTGGAAGGAGATGAAGCAAGTCTTGATTAATGAAGGCTGACGAAGTGGGGGTGTAGCAGGGACATTCTCTCTCTGAGACACAGAGTGCCTGTGACCGGCTCTTGTGCCAACCACTACTAGAGGAACTAGCTTATTCCACTCTGACACTTACCTCCTCAGAAACATGAGGCAAGGGATGAGAAAATTGAGATGCAGAAAACTGAAATGTCTTGTAATCAAAGTCATCATGATTACCAAAGACAGGATTTAAGTTCTGATTGGATTTCAAAGTCCGGGCTCTTCAAACTGCCTCCCTGGCCCCTGTGAAAGGCTCAGATGAGCTGCCCCCTCCCTGTAATGCTTTTAGACAGTAAATTCTTCAGTTCGCTCATGAAGGACAATGTCCCAAATGTCTCATCAGACACCTAGGACTGAGGCTCATTTGCTTCCATTACTGACCTGTTTCATGACCTTGGCAAACTCCCTAGATTGCCTGGGAATCAGTTTCCTCATCTGTAAAATGAGCAGCTAGAACTTGAAGACATGACCCAGTTACAAAATCCGGTGACTCTGAGTTCGTTCTCTCCAGTCACACCATTTCTTCCAGCCGGGATGCCTTCTCCACCCTTCTCTCGACACCCGACTACAAGTGTGTGGACTCCAACATCACTTCCTGCTTCTTGTTCAGTGTATACTTGATTGGCTGATTTTATTCATATCTCATTCCATGGGTTTATTAAGTTCATTTAACTTCTATCCACTGTTCCACTTTATTAATAAACCATAATTAATGTTTTAAATGTCTATGAGAGACAATCAACTAGTTCCTTTTTCACACACATGCTGCAACCAAGATCCTCTGACTTGACTCTGGTTACACGTGCAAGAAATTGTCTAGAATGGACTTCAGAACTGGTATTGTTGGGTCATCGAGTTGGAGCATCCGTTGTTCCCTGAAGTGGTTGTACCAATATATGTTCTCACTAGTAATGTTTAAGGGTTCGATTTCCCATGCCCTCACAATACCTACCAAGTTTACTCTCGCCAAAATATCCTGTTTCTTTTTCTGATGGTACTCACTTTCTTTTTACATTATGTTTGTATATATGACACCTCTTCTACTGGCCTGGGAACTTTGTAAGGAAAACCCTAGGTGACATCTAATTAACTCCAACTTATGATGACCCTACGTATTGCAGAGTCGAAATGCACTCCAGTGTTTTCAGATGCTTGGATTTTTGGAATTCAATTACCAGGCTTTTCTTTCATGGTACCTCTGGGTGAATTTGAACTGTCAACTTTTTGATTAGCAGCTGAGTGCCTGTTTTTTGTTGTTGTTGTTGTTTGTTTGTTTTTTACCATTCAGGGACTCTTTTGAAAGGGCAGCATCTTTGTTCAACTCACTTTTATGTTCCTCCCACAAGAAGTATTAAGCTCAGTAAGTCCATGGTAAAGAGTTGTGAGCAAATAAATGGATAAGCAGTCTGAAGGAATCCTAACATCCCCCTCGGAAGAGGACGAGTTCTAGGAGGGCGGGGCTGAGGTTGTCCATCTCTATAACCTGGGCTGAGGATGTGGGTAGGGAATCCCCTTATGCTGAAGACACAGACGAGATGGCAGCACCATGGTCACTAACTGTAGATCAAAGGCTGCAAGATCTGCAGGGGACTGTGACCAACCTTTTGGAGACACCAGCTTTAGGTTTTCTTATCATGATGTTGTTGTTGTTAAGTGCCGTCGAATCGGTTCCAACCCATAGCGACCCTGAACAGGGTTCCCAAGGCTGTAAATCTTTACAGGAGCAGAAAGCCTCGTCTTTCTCCTGAGGAGCAGCTGGTAGTTTCGAACTGCTGACCTTGCGGTTCACAGCCCGATTCGTAACCACTATGCTACCAGAGCTCCTTTTTTATCATGATATTCACCAAATATTTATTGATTACTGTGAGTGGCCAATTTCCCAGTCCTTGGGGCCACATGTATTAAGTAGCAAGAAGGCTGTTTTTGAATGGAACTCCCCCACCCTGGCCCCACCCCATTGCTAAGGGTTGGCTAGAATCCATGTGTCCTTTGAACTGGGTGCTACATGACCTATGGTAAATGCCTCCCCTTTTTGTCACCCCAGAGGTTCTAGTCTGACTCACTTTCTAAATAAGCTACTTGTGGTTTTGGTCTGACATCACATGTAAAAGAATGAGTAAATTTTCAAGAACTTGAATTAATTTGATCAGAAGAAGATGCATGTGTCTGTTGCTCATGGCTCTGGGATAAGGGGTCAGTACTGGTAACAAGTCCCCTAACCTTCTTCCAGCTTCCTTCCTCTGAGGTCAGGGGATAGAGACAGAGGGAAGGAGGTGGGCATGGGCACTAACAATATCTGTGTAGATCTCTTCTTTGTTACTGCGCCAGGCAAAATTGAATACAATTGCATCTTGTTGCTACTTCTAGATTAAATAAAAATAATACAACAAAGTAGTTAAGGCCATGAGTTTCGCTGCTGCCCACTTGGGTTTAAATATCTGAAGAACCACTTACCAGCAGGGCGACGCTGAGCAAGTCACGGAAGCTTCATGTGCCTGATTCCTTATTCGTAAGATCATAGCAGTGCCTGGGGTGCCACCCTAGGACAAGCACTGGACCACAAGGTCAGTTTGAACTGCAAGACTCAGCTTGCTTCAAACCCACCAGCTGCTTCTATACAGGGTCACTATGAGTCGTAACGGACGTGATAGTGCTTTACAACAATAACAATAACAGTACCTCTCACATGTGCTAAGTACTTGGGACTGTGTCTGGAACATACAAGCACTATGCAAATGTGGGGAGCGATTTCTTTGACTCCACAAAATGCTTGTGGTCATGGAAAGCACTCAGTAAATGCTTTCTGCTGAAATGAATGGATTCTCTATATACATATATATGAAAGAGCAGGGGGCGCAAGGCTCTGTAAGTGGCAGACTCTTGGTGGGAGATAGAAGGAACCTTAAGGACCTGTTCCTTCAGGCCAGTCATCTCCTTCCTTTTGTTTAGTTGGTTAATTTGTTCTCTAGTTATATGTATTGTGCTGGGGAGGGGCGGATTGCCACCCCCAGGTATTACTCAAGAAGAGATTTTACCTTTCTGCTTTTTAAGTGTAAGAACTAGGATCCTCGAACCCTGAAACCCTGGGCTGTTAGAAGGGAGGATACAGACCCTGGCTCTATCTCTCCGGTGCACTGCTTGTGAGGAGGGTTAGTAAATAGGAGGCGTTTGGATGAGAGTTCTTTTCCTGAGTTACTGGATAGGGATAATATATAGAAAACAGACACAATGTTGGTCTACTGGTTTCTTTGATCATATGTGCACATGTGCAGATGTGGTATCTATCTTCACAGCATTGGCCATCTTTGGTAAGGTCCTGTTGAGTACCACAGAGTCTGGGAAAGCCGGAGAGCAGCCTTTTGGAACCCACCATCAGCTGAAAGACTTCTGTAGGCCAGGCGTGGAGGCCCTAGTCTAACCTCCTTAGTACTATTGGGTAGGCTTTAGCTGAGGAACTGGTGGACCAGGCAAATAGGTCTAGTTTGGCTTAGTGGAGCAAGGGGGCCATGCATATTAGAAAGGCTACCAGTTCAGTCAAATCAGTTGAAGTTCTGAGAGGCTGAGAGAAGTCCAGTTGAGGGGACAGATTCACGGGGAGGTGTCCAAAGGCTCAGTCTGAGGGGCATCTAAAGGGGTGGGGGCTACTCTCAATCTCCGAATCACTTGCAAACCCAGACACTCACCTGCGACCAGACACAAACACCTTCATGCACTACTGACACTAAAGGCTTCCCCCTGGGAGACTTTGCTCTTCGCCAACACACTCCCGTTCCTCACACACAACCTCTTAGTCAAAAGAGTGGCCTCGGGGAGACCTCACAACTGACATCCAGTGCCGGTTAATGCTGTTGCTTTTATTACGCCAACGGTCTTAACAATTATTTGGAGGTGCACACAGAACTGGACATGCACAAGTCTCTCCAGTCGGCTGCCAGGTTCCAAGTCACCGCAGCGCAGGTGAGGCCTGCTTCCCCGGGTAGGGCACCGGTGTGCTCCCCAGTATCAGCAGACTCGGCTTGCTTCACCGCAACAGCAGTCTAGTAATCTCATGTGTTTTAACAGTTAAACAGGTGTGAAAAGGGACCAAGTGTGGGTACGTTCCTAAAACTTAAGAACCAAGAGTACTTGTGGGTGGGTCTACACTCCCATCATGCCGCACTGACTACAGGGGTGGGAGGCATGCTTTGCACTGCATCTGAGCTTGGCTGAGCGGCCAGGAGGCCTCAGTTAGGGTGCCCCTGGCTTCACAAGGAGGAGTAAGACATGACGGCATGGTCACAATAAGGCCACTACACTCACAGCTAAAGAGAACCTCAGAAGGAAGCATTCGTGTCTATGGGAAAGTGGCTTTCCTCTCTGGTGTCAGGTGCCTCTCGCTGGCCAGGTACCTGGCCTGAGACAGTCACTTGGTCCTTTCTGAGCTGCGGGACATCACTCAGCACGAAGGGAGCAGAGAAGGGGCCACACACGGCACAGTCACAGGGCATCTATCAAGTGATACCAACTGACTACTGGCAAATGCTCGGATGCCGTTCCCTGTGGAGCGGGTGTCCCCGTGTGCCTCCGGGCTAGTCTGAAAAGAGGCTGGCAAAGGACTTCCTCAGGCTCCGGATGGTCTCCGCTTTGGCTTCATCCTCATTGGCTGAAGAGCGGAAGAAGGAGGACTCAGAGAAGCTGAAGGCATTTGTCAGGGACTGCGACTTGCTTGAAGATAAAAATCAGAGAGAACGTGAGAGGCTGGTGCTCCCAGCAAAGCAGGGAAGGATGTGATGGGAGCCCCCATTCCCACCCCAAGGAGGCCAGGAGAGGGAGACCAGGAAGAAACAGAAAGAGAGAAGGAAAGAGGCAGAGGGGAAGAGGAAAAAGGCTTGACTTAGAGACTCTGCCCTTTATTGAATGCTAAGAGCCTGGGAGCTGAAGTGCCAATCTGGGAATCTGGGAACCGCCACCCTCTCCTCTGAGATGCAGCAACTAGGGGCCGTGGATTCTTGGCTGCCTGTCAGCTATCACGTAGTGGCTCACAAGGCTACTCCCTCTCTGGGCCTCAGTTTCCCATCTTTGAAATGTAGATGCTTGGTAAGATGAAAGCTAGGCCCTTCCGGGCTCTTCCCATTCTGTTCTTCTTTCAGACTCCGAAAGAACCCTTTGGCTTGGCCGGAAATCAGATGCCCCAGCCTCTCTGATCTTTAAGTGAACAGGGTGTCCAGGGACAAAAGAGGTACAAATTAGGCCAATACGGGACCTATATAAGCGGTTTTCTAATGAAAACAACCTGGATCACACACATCACGGGCCTGTTTTTCCCTTCAGAGTCTAATGATGCAGTGAGAAAAGCGGTGAAGGCAAGAAAGTGGTGGGCGGCGGAGCCTGGCATGCTAGAAGAGGACAAACTCTCCAGGCCCCTCCAGTCACCATCTTGTCTCTTTGTCTTCCACTCTGCCTCTTTCCTGTTGGTCTCTGGCTTCAGAACACTTCTCCGGCTGTTTTAGAACTCCCAACTCTTCCCTAAAAGCTGGGTGCAACCCAGGAAACTCCCTTCTCTGGGGCCGTGGGCAGTTTCTCTCATGCTGTATGAACCTGCGAACAGATGAGGGCTGGGGCGAGCCTGCACACGCTGGCCTCAGAGTGGGGGCCTCAGTACACAGGGGCACAGGGTGCGGGGTATAGTCTCCTGCTTGTTGCCCCAGGCTGTGCTCAGACATCTTCAACCCTGAGGCAGTGACAAGCCTCCAATTGGGTTGGGCCGGAGTCTGGGAGCAGGAGGGGGAGATGGCCACCTATCATTATAAGGCTGAAACCCCCGAGGAAGTGCCCCTGAGCTCTAACCCTGGGTTTGCCACCAACTTGCCGGGTGGCGCTGTGAAAAAGAAAACCACACACATCTCTGAGTCGTGTGCCCTCATCTGTACCCCTTCTAGATGATCTCCAAGTGGCTCGTTTGAGTTCCAGAATCCTATGGCCGCTTCTGGTGCCTCTACTGACAATGGTGACAGAGGCCTGTTTGGCATCTCTTCTGGCTCATGGGGAGAGGCTGGTACAGATCACCATCCAACCCAAATGCTGCCTTCCAGGGGTGCAGGGCAGTATGTGGGATTTTAAAAACTACTGCTAGGATGAGGGGGCCCAGGGGGACAGAACTCCTCCCGTCAACCTGGGCCCTCCTCTGAGGCCTGCACCGGAAACTGACCTCCTTCGGACAGTTGAAGGTAAAAGGTTAACTACTTCCCCCTTTTCCTTCTGGGTAGCCTTGCTGATTGCACACCCTCAACCATGAGTCATAGGCAGGAAAGAGGGGGAGAGAGAGAGAAAGATCTAGAAGGAGTGGAAAGAAGAGTGGGAGGCAGGGTAGACACAAAAAGCCCGAAGTTGCTGTTCTTAGGGAAGCTGGAGCAAGACCCACTCTGCCTTAATGCCTCCCTCCGGGGAAAGAGAGGAGGGTTTGCATTTCTAGAGAGACCTTAGACTTTCACTTCCCTCCTTATTACCCTCCCTGAACAACACCCACTGGGCCCCCTTCAGAAAGCCCACAGAAAACATCAATCAGTAGGAGGAGGCCGCTGGAGGTGCTTTCTAACAGCGAGTGAGTGAGGGGCAGGGAGGGCTGCTGTGCCGTCTCTTACTTGAGCTGTGGGTGAGGCTGGGGCTTCTGTGGTGGAGCAGCCGGGGGTGGCTGGGCCTCTGCCAAGGAGGTCCTGCTGGAGGGCACATCTCCTTGGGTGGTGGGGCCGCCTGGCCGAGGAGGAGCCGAGGAGGAGGAGGAGGAAGAGGAGGAGGATGAGGAGGAAGGTGGCACTGATGGTCCAGGGGGGAGCCGGCGTGGAGGCAGCACCTTGCCTGGGGGTTGCATTCCTTGGGGTTGCCCAGGGCCCCCTAGGTTCAGTACAAGAAAAACTTCATAATTTAACCGTATCAAAGGGTTTCCTTATTAAAATCGCTGTCTCAAAGGGTGTGGTTAGTTAATTACCAAAGGGTAAATTCTATTTACAGGAAGCTGCCTGTGGTTCTGAAAGGCTCCAAGGGAGTCCTCGTCACACTCACACACCTTAGTCCCAGCAGGAGTCAGAAGAAACTATGGGATAAACAGGCCTCTATCAGAGGCCTCCCAGACCACGTGGAATCCCTCTTCCCCAGAGGTTCTCCTGTACCGACCACCCGCTCCAGGGCCCTAGGAAGTCCCGTTTCCACCCAGCAGATGTAGTGTGTTATTGTTGTTGTTAGTTGCCATCCAATCAGCTCTGGACTCATGGCAGCCCCCTGCATAGCGGGATTGCACTCTTGTGCTCCATGAGGTTTTCACTGAGTTTTTGGAGGTCTTTCTTTTCAGTCTGTCTTAGTTCGGATGCTTCGTGAAACCTATTCAGCGTCAGCAACAAGCCAGCCTCCACAGACAGACACTGATCACTTGGTAGGAATCAAACCCGGGTCTCCCACATGGAAGGTATGGGTTCTACCCACCACCACCACTGCTCCCCATAGATACAGCATAAAACATCCGGTGCTGTGCAATCCATTCTGACCCATAGGAACCTGACAGGACAGGGTAGAACTGCCCTAGAGTGTTTCCTCGGCTCTCATCTGTATAGAAGCAGAGTGTCCCATCGTTCTCACACAGAGTGGTTTCAACTGGTTACTAGGGTGTGGAAAGAACACTGGATTGGGAATCTGAAAAGCCAAGAAAGACTCTTATCAATGAATGCCTCATGGAGCAACTCACAAAACACCTGCTTTCCAGCCATAGAACTGTTACAAAGTAAGCCCTAGTCTTAGACATCTTTCAAGATCGTAGTTAAATTTCAAAGATGATCAGAATGAGAAGGTTCTTCAAAAGCATCCGGTGGTTAGCAATCCTAAACTAGCACTGACTTGGGATGTGATTGGTCTTCTTGCTCCCAGTCTGCCTGTGTGTTATCTCCCTTCCCCAGGCATCATCCTCAAATGGTTCAGCATGGTGCACTTTTCAGGTAGGTGTGTTGCTATCTTCAAAAATCCAGTCCTATTCACCTTTGGGGGTTTAGTGGGCAACCTCTAGGAAAGGGGCAACCACACACCTCTCCTAGCAGGAGACAGAACATGGTATCAGTATGTGTGGCACCAGATTGCTCAGTTTGTTGAGGGGTGGTGCTGGTGGTAGGGTTTACACTCAGAAGTCAAAAGCATCCCCCTCAGCACAGATGGCCACAGAAATCCAATGTCTCAGCGGAGGTTCTAGAGCCCACACCAGAAGCCTGCTGGAAGGAGTGGGCTTATCAAGCCTCAGCAGCAGCCAAGTAGCATTTAACTGAGTTTTCTGGGAACCCCAGGCTACTGGGCTCACAGGTGACCCAGAGTTGTAGATCTACACCACTGCAGCTACATTTGTCAACCCATCTCCCCACACATAGCATTGGCTTGCCTTCAGTGTCAGTAACCAAGGTAATGCCAAAGGTGATGGTTGTTATTAAATGCCGTCGAGTCTGTTCTGACCCATAGCGACCCTGTATAAGGTTTCCAAGGAACAGCTGGTGAGCTTTAACCGCCAACCTTGCAGTTCAAACCAACTTTTCAGTTCAGCACATTAGCCCACAGCACCACACCAGGACTCCAAAGGTAGGAACACAAAATAAACCAATAAGTAAGTTGTTGTTGAGTGCCGTCGAGTCGGTTCCGACTCATATCAACCCTGTATAGGATTTCCGAGGAGCAGCTGGTGATCTTGAACCGCCGACCTTGTGGTTCAAACCGACTTTGCAGTCCAGCACATTAACTCACAGCGCCACACCAGGACTCCAATAAGTAAGTACCAATAAGAAAATACCAAAGGTAGGAGCACAAAATAAACTAATAAGTAAGTAAAGAAAGAAATGGCATTTCTGTGTTTAAGAAGTTAGAGTTCAAATCCAACACTTAGTGAAGATGAGATTATTTCACGTTAACCAATTTTTGTTTTTTCCGAAGTTTGGCATCATTTATGTTAGCATTGTTTTGTCAAGTAATGCAGGTTCGCGTCTCAGTCTCTTGGACTGGAAACCTGATTGCTTTCCCACTTGGACAGAGATACTTGAGTAGCCAGAAAGTTTACAACTTAACACTGAAGACAGATATAACTTTCCTTTATTGCACATTAAGCTGTACAAGAGAGTCACAAAAGAGAGGTACTTCAATCACACTTCCAGCATTGGCTGAGGTTCTCCCAGCTGGATAGGTACAAAAAAAGGGACAACGTTGGAAAAGAAATGGGTACAAAACACCTCAAAAGCAGTCCTCTACTGTGACAAGGGTGTCCCCCAGACCACACAGTTGTCCCTTGGCATGCTGCCTGAGGACATGTGGCAGGAGGGTCCTGCCGTCTGTGTGCTCCTGGCAGTGGGAGTCAGAGCCCTGCCTGAGAGGCCCTAGGTGACAATGACTTTGCATTGGTGACTCACAAATGTCACATAAAAAGCACCTGAATGTTCACACTGATCACATGCAGAGAAGCAACATCACCATCAGCTTACCACTGCCACTTGGACAAAAAGAAAGTAAAGGACAGTTAAAAAAAAAAAAAAAGAAAAGAAAAAAGAAAGTATTCCTCTATTTTAGGAACTGCTGCTTTATTCCTGTATCACTGCATCAGATTGGGAGAGATTTAAGAACCTGATTCTTATGTAACCCATATATCTTCATATTTGTATATATTTACAACAAGTCTCACAGATGAGAACACTCATACTCAATGCATTTCCCTGCCTCAGAATTTGCCAGCAACCACAGGAGAAACCAGGGTGTGTGCCCCTCAACCTGTCAGTCATGCTAATTTCTACCAATAGCTCGTATCCTCCAGACCTGGAAGGCCAGAACAGTGACGTAGGAGGGAATGTAGAAGTAGAACCTGAAGCATTTCTTCTAAAAGGCAGAGTGCTGGCATGAACTCCTGGGAGGGCAACAGGTGCCAGGAGATGGCGAGAGGAGGCCTTGAACAAATGACTCACCTCTGCCCAGAAGTTGCTTGCTGGCGTGAAGTGGACACGCTGGGGTGGCAGGACTCTTCAAGGGCCACGGCTGTGGAGCCTCTGCCCCAAACACACAATCTAAGATCTCAGAGATTTCCCAGGGGAGATACAACTCTCACTTGGAATGGCTGAGAACAAAAGGAGTCCACCTCAGGGTTCAGGCGGCAGTGGGCCCACTCAGATGAAATGGGACTTTTTGATTTGGTCTCATGTCAGAAAACCTTAAGCGAGGCCAAGAGCAGAATGGCAGGTCCTTCCCAGCTTCTAATAGCTCCTGCCTTCCATGCCCAACATGGCCCCGGGATCACCTCTGTACATAGGTAAAGCTTCGGAGGGATATAAAGCAGGCTCAGTTCCACAGAAGCGATTCAGAAACAGCCACAGGGAAGAACAACTCAGGGGACTGAGATCAGTCACAGAAAATACTCTCACATTTACTTTTATATTGCACATCAGCGGCCCCATTTTTTTTTTTTTTTAAATCTTGTAGCTAGTTACTAATGAAAAACAAAGGGGTACATTGGGAAGTAGAATTCAGAAGACGTTCCTGGAAATGGCTTGCTCTCTATGTTCAGGCCATCTCTAAATGCACAAGAGCCTCAACAGGCACGGTCAGCCGATTCACAGAAACTCCAAGGGCACCACCAGGTTTAGCAATGGAGGAAAAGTGGAGGACACTCCGATGTCAACGGAAGGAGCTATGGAAGTTAGACCTCAAAAATCTCTTACTCGTCTATTTCCCCAAGGCATGCAGAAAGGACGCAAGAAGCAGTTTGTTGGATATCCCAAGCACACTAGTGTAGATATGCAGGGTGGGGTGGGGGGCTGATCTGAGCCTGGGGAGAGGGAGAGAGGAGTTGGGTTTCCTTATTGTGGTCTCATTTCTCCCCTGTTCACCCACCCCCTGCTCTGATTTCACCCCACATTATGTAAGACTTCAAAAAATAGGATCAAGCCACCCAGAAGAAAGAGTTACGCTGGACTTGGGAGAGGTACAATTCTTCTGTACACTGTTGACAAACAGCCCTGAAATCACAAGTTATACAGAGAAACCTAAGTGAGTGTTACAAGCACAGACAGGAACAGGTAAACAAGCACACAGAGAGCTGACACCACACAGGAAAACACAGTCCGGTCAGCCTCAAAGAGCGCACAAACGGCACTGCCAGAAGGGACTGTGGATCCCCTCACACTGGCCTTGCTTTTTATCTTTCCGTTTTGTTTGTTTTTGGCTTAAGATTTCTGCTTTGAAAAATTAACTACCAATTACTTTAAGAAGCTTGGCCTTGTTTTGGCCCTACCGCAATGCCATTACAGTCGAGAATATACTGTAAACAACCTTGGGGGGGTGGCCGCTGAGGTGGAGTCTGGCTGGAGTCCGGGTCCTTTAGCGTTCCACTCTGGAAGACAAAAATGCAAAACAGATAAAAACAAAAACACAACCCAACTCCCAATGAATTCCATTGAGAAACTCTATGGCTCTGTGGCAGTACCCAGCAAGGTTGGACCTTCTCTGGAGTGTTGCTGCGCAGGTGAAGACAGTTTGGGGCTTGGAACCACTCTACATGCAGGTGCATCACTGGAGAATCAGCACTGGACTGTGAACCATTAGGTCGGCGGTTCAAAGCCACCAGCTGCTCCTCCAAAATCCTGTACAGGGTTGCTATGAGTTAGAATCGACTCGGCGGCATTTAATAACAACAATGAGCTCTCCTCAGCCTCATTTAAGCTGCTTCTTTCTAGAAGTGGTGAGTCTTCTACCACTGCGTTCTTCTCGGATGCTCTACCAGTGCCTGTATCCCACTATGTTGGCAGGACTGCATTCTGAAAGCTCACACCACGCTCCAGCTCCAGAAACTAGGTTGGGCTGTAGGTGGCCTAGGCTTGGCCCACTGCTCAACTCAAGTTAACTGGGGACGAGCTCAGTCCTGGGGCTGACTCAGGGGTTAGGAGCACTGGTGGGGCTGGGCTGGACTCCTACAGGGAGGGGGCAGCAGTTTCTTTCCCAGATGTTCCTTACCCAGAGGGTAGGAGTAAGATACTAATGTTTGTAAAAATGCTCAGGGCTGCTCTTCCTGCTCACAGAGCTGAACAACATTTTACTCAACAAGGTGACCCTCCTCCCAACATTTCCGCTCCTCCCTCCTCCCAGCTGGGATTCCGATTATGCCCTGACAGGATCAAAGACTCATGTGACTTTGGTGTGTCTAACATATTAAGGCAGTGAGCACTTGAGTTTGAATTCAGCGCAGGGGAAATGCTCTATAAAATCTCAGGGCTGCCAAGTGTGCCGATGGTGATGTCAAAGAGGGGGCTGCAAAGTGGGCTTGGCTGTCTTTAGCATCCTCCCACTTCCTCTCTGGCACTTCTCCCCACTTGTGACATGCCTCCAGCCCTCCCTTGCTCCTCCTGTTGCCATTTCCCCTGGCCTCCGAGTCTGCTCCACTCCCAGGAGGTGGAAGTGTTAGTCTTCCCAGTGTCTTTGAATACCGTCATAGCATTACTTCTGACAGTAGCAGGCAGGGGGCCTTTGAAAGGTCCTTCAAGCCACTGCATTAGAGACTGCCTTTTCTACCTACAGCCTCAGTCTCCATCACAGGGAGACCACTATTATTACTTTTCTTTTTTATTCCAGTACGCTCAACACCCAACCTCAATTGGCCAGCAAGAGACCACACTGACTGGTCAGTCATTTGAACCTGGCAGACTCGTCCTCCACAGAGATGCCATCTCCTCTTGACTAACTCTGCTGACTTATATAATTTCTTCCTTTGTTGACTACTATAATAGTCTCCAGATTCTTTTCCATAGTTATCTATTGACCGCCTAAGCTCCTCCCCTAATGACCTCACTTTTACTCCACTTACTGCTCTACATGGAGTCCTGGTGTGGCACTGTAGGATAAGCACTAGACTGCTAACTGCAGAGTTGGCAGTTCAATCCCACCAGCTGCTCCTTGGAAACGCTATACAAGGTTACTGTGAGTCAGAACTGACGTGATAGCACTTCACCACCACCACTGTGGAGCTAAGGCAACTGAGTTGTGAACCCTGGAGGTCTGAAAGCACCCACATTCTTCAGGCTGGCACTGGAAACCTCTTTAGCAAGGTCCTGATGGGCCCTTCCAGTCTTATCTAAAACACAGCTCTCCCAGGCTTGAGTTCTCATTGTTTATTCTCTAGTTGCTGGTACACCATTGTTTAGGCCGAGTATCCTCTGGAATTCCTTTTCTCCTTTTCCGCCAATCCAACTCAACACATCCTGGAAGCCAAAGTCAAGTCTCCCCCGCCCTCCTCAGGAAATCTTCCCTCTGACTCCAGTCTCCTCTCTGAAATCCCATGACAACATCTAATGAATGCACACTACCCACATTGTGTTATCTTGTCACCTTGTAGACTGGAAGGATATATCTTCATTTTGTTATAAATGCCCAGCAAATGTAGTGCCCTGTTTTCTTTTTTTAAAAATTTTTAAATTTTAAAACGCATACATGATATTGGAACTATGTATGTAAAAGGAAAAATAAAAGATTAGATCCATGAAATAGGAGATGGACTAGGTGGTCACCAAGGCGTTTTCCAATCCGGAGCACATTTTCATCTTTGGAGATCCCTGAGTTCTGCTATACCTCAAACACTGGGAAGAGTTTGTCTCCGTTTCCCAAATGGAGAGGCTGTAAGGATTAAACATGGTGGCCATGGAGATGTCTGGTGTGAACAGCAGTGAACTTCCTATCATCAGAGCCTGGACACACTAACACTGGGATGAGCGTGTGCCATGAAGGCTGGCCCCGACTGCCTTCAGCTACAGAAACCCTATCCAAGTAAGACCCCCGCAAAGGATGACCTGAGCCTAAGATTTTCTTCCATCAGTATCTGCCGCCCAGGGAGCGCCCCTTATCCCTGAATCCACTGAGGTTGCTGACAAAAGACTTCCCAGGGACTGCAGTAGGAGAGGAGGAGAGTCCCCAGGGACTTTCCCTTGCCAGGCTGAGACACTCTGGCTCCACCCATGAGCCTTCTGTCTGCTAGAGGCTGAGGACTTAGTCCCCGTGGGGTTTGGCTACCATGAGATCTGTCTCCAGTCACCAAGAACCGCCTGGGATGCTGAATTCCACAGAAGTCTGGCCATGCTGGCGTCACTGCCAAAGTCTGGCCTGTAGCCAGGCAGCAGCAGGGACTTGTGGCCAGTCTTAGTGCAGAGTTCCCTCTGAACACTGAACTGACTCAAACAGGTGAGACTGCTAAGTCTAGTGCATTCAGATGCACTCAGAAGGAAAGGGGAGAATGGCATTATAGCAGCCTAAGAAGATGCTGGGCTGCAAGGACATCAACAAGCTCAGAGGGTGTCAGCTTCCACTGTGGCTGCCAAATGTGCAATACAGCCGGCGGGGTGTCCACAGCAGCCTAGGGTCTCAACAAGGGGAGGCCATAGGGCTACTGCTCTTTAGGCTGTTCACATCCCATGAGAAAGCACTGCAGTTCTGGGCACCTCTTTTAAGAGGTACACTAGCCGCCTGGAGCATGCAGCAGCAAGGATGTGGAGAAGTCTGGAAAGAACATCTTCCCTCATGTGACTTTGGGCAAGTTACTTAATGTCGGAGTCTCAGTTTCTCAGACTGTAAGGATCAAATGTGCTGAGCATGAAAACATCTAGTATAGGTAACAATGGCCTTCCTATTATCAGAGCCTGGATAGACTCTGGTCACATGCATTGTACAGGAGGACTCAACTAGTTGATCTTCTGGCTCTGGGCTTCCTTTAATGCCTTTCTCTCAGCTCTTTAGGAGTCTGAGATACATGTAAAATAATCTTGTCTTACCCTCAGAGTCCTGAGTCCAGCAAGACCTGGCCTGTGGAATCTTGTCTGACAGGGCAGAGTGTCCTGCAGGCACAAGCTCTGAGGGGCCTGGTAAGGAGAGTGTGCGGCTGCCCTCCATCGAAGCTAAACGAGCTGGGAACCCCACAATGCCACATCTACTGGGCCTTAGTGATGCAACAAGCCAAAGAGAAGGGTTGTTCTGATGGAGCTGAGAGACTCCTCCTAGGTTGATAAGAAGAGAGCAAGGGTTTCCCTGACAGAGCCCAGCTCTCTCCATTCATACCTTCCCTGTGATCTGGGGGAAGTCGCGAAAGGCCGCAGTGTATGGTACTGTGGAGACCTCCCGAACTGCTTTTGCTTTGCTAAGTGCCGTCGGGTTTCCAAGGAGCAACTGGTGGATTTGACCTGCCTCCGACCTTGTAGTTCGCAGTCCACTGCTGACCCTATAGCACCACACACCAGAAAATCCTGTTTACCAACTAAGTGACCTTGGAGAAGTTTCTTGCATTGCCTCTGTTGATATATAAAACAGAACCAGAAATTCCAGGCCAAAGCTTCTCACATAAAGGTGGTGTGTGGTGGTAAGTGGAGAAACTCAAAATTGTGAATGTACTTTGCAAACTGTAAGATGCTGGGCCAATGTAAGTAACCATCATTATTTAGATAATAATATAGATCAATCCAAAGAAATGCAGCTCTAATGGTAGACTCTTGTGTGTCAGTGGTTTCTGTCACTTGTCAACATTGTAGCTGAGCGTGTACGGGGTTAAGGTAAACTCAGATGGTTCAGGGCTAGGCTGTACCATGACCACTAGATATCACAGACTTGACTCCAGCAAGGCCCCTGCAGATGCAGAGAAGCCAGTCAGAAACAGTCAATATTAGCTTTTGAGGTGACTGGAAAGGAAATCACTGGCTTGGGAGAGAAACCAAGCCCACGGGTGTGGGTTTGTAGGTTTTTGGTCAAAGGCACCTTTAATTCCCATCCTGCTGTTTTCAGCAGATAAGCTACGGGAGAGGGGTGCCCATCTGAGGTCCCAGCAGGATGGAACGCTGAGGCAGGAAAGACAGTGAGTGACTCAGTTCTTGAGGGTTGTTGGCCCAAGCCCAGCGGTCCCACTCCCACTGAGGAGGAAGAGCCTGTGCTTGCTCAGCATTTCTGAGACAGGAAATTGGGAAAGGGTCCCAGGGTCTGGCCCCAGGATAGAGACCAGGCCAAGCTCCTTGCCGGACATGCCATGGAACTATTCTGATCAGCTCCCCCAGGCCCCATTGCCCGGGTCTAGGACCTCAGGGGGAATGAGGCAGTGGGAAGGAATGTGGTCTAGAGGCTGTAGGTTCAATCAGTGAGAGGGGACATCGTGTTTTTGGTACCTTGAAATCTTTCTGGACACTGCTCTGCAGTCACCATTGCCACCTTCCTTTCTTAGAGAGGTCATCAAAGGTGCCCAAGGAAGATCCTTTCTGTGCTCTGAGGAGCCAGGTCAGCTCCAGGACTAGAGCCCATGGACATTAGGCATGTCCCATGGGGGCAGTCCACAGGTCCTAGGGGGCACTGAGGGCCAGGTCACTCAAGGTC